GGAAACATTCAAAATTCACTCTGTTGTGGTAAGGATGTCTATGAGGTTAAAGCTATAGTGCGTAACTTCTGTCGCCTCCCAGCGGATAATGCGTTATTACAACTAATAAGCCGGCGGCACTTCCATGTACACAGAGTAACACTCGCCACACACCGTACACAGAGTAACACTCGCCAGTCGCCACACACTGTACACAGAGTAACACTTGCCTTTGTGGTAGGATCCACTTCTGAACCGTGTCTCGGCTGCTTCTCCGCCATGTTGCTTTCTCTTTCTACCTGCGCTCTACCTCTTGCTATGACACTCTGCGCTCTTCCTCCCCCTCCCTTCTTGTTGTGAGGAAGCAATACCGCGAGATGTTAGAGGAGCCAATCGGCTTAATCAGCATTGTGTCATCTCCTCTAGTAGTGGCTTGGGTGAAACGGACATTTACGGACGGAGAAGTTACACACTATAGCTTTAAGTGCTATACTCTGTGAAAATGCAATGTCAGCACTACTGTTTTTATGGTACTGTCAGCTGCACTTGTTTTATCAAACTTTTTTAAAACAAATAAAATTTTTAAAAAGCATTCATTATTTTTGTAGATTTGGTATATAATTACTCTGTTGTTAAAATAGGACTACATATGGTGAAGAGCACATTATGACTTGTTTAGGACTCGAACGTTTAGGACTTGTGCTTTGACCTGAGACTTGCCTGTCTTGACTTGGGAAATGAATTGGGATTGGAGTGCAAAGACTGCAGACTTACTTGTAACTTGGAAAGCAATGACTTTGTCCCACCTCTGGTAAAAACCTGCTGAACTTCAGACTGATCAGAAATAAGCTGAGCACACTTCAGCAGGTGCTGGAAGAGTGGCCTGTCTGCGACATGCCAAACAACAAATGAGAAACACTGGTTTGTACCATGAAACTGTTTTATTCAGTGTTTTCATCAGTTTTAATGATTTAGCCTGTTTGTTTTAAATAAGAAGAGTCCTCTGTGGATAATTTGGCTCCTGATAAAAACCTCCTGAACAATGAAATTCTTACCAGCAGAAGTTTCAGCTGGTTGCAATCTGCAATTCTCACTACTAGATGTTCATTTAAGAACAGAATTTAGCACTGAAGCGCTGAATTATGCACAAACATACTTTGTAATTACTGCTTTAATTCCCACAAGTGTTAAGTTAGCAAATACAATAAATAAACAAATAGGAGACTGGAACCAGGCAAGCTTTATTGGTTTTAAACTTAACAAAACACCGCTGGCAGATAAAAACCACACTCCCGCAAAGAGCACGTTTGCAGGTATTATGAAAAGAAAGTCACATGAATTGTACTGTCTTTTTTTTGTTGTTGTTGTTGTTGTTGACAGGTATTGAGTCGGTCAAATCATCATTGTACTCAAAACATGTATGACCATGTAAACTTTATAATTTCTCTACCGTGATAATGTAAACACATTTTTGGGTCGACTGCATATAGCGTGTTCAGTATGAATATTTACACCCTAATCACAGTTTGAAGAAATGTCTGCACTGAACAAAGGAAGTAAACATTTCAAAAAGCGGTTCACTGCATCAGAGCTCTACGTCTCTGCTGTGATGTCAGAAACACGGTTGGATCTGATTCGTTTGTATCAGAGAACAGAAAATAACTCCTCAGAAGTCAGCTACATAAATATATCTTTGTGTATACCAGTGTGTGTGTTTGTGTGTGTGTGTGCGTGTGTGTGTGTGTGTGCTCACTACACGGCATGAATGCTCAGCTTTGGCAATTAAAATAAACATCTCAAAACATCAGCAAAAGCTCTCATACTCAGCTGCTAAATGATTTCCTATTTAAATTTCACAGAGCAAATATTCATAAAAGATTTTAACACCGCAGTTAATTTGCTACACTGTTTTTCTCTTAACAGTACCACAGTTTGTAAGCATAACATTTCCCCCCATAGGTCTAAAAATGGCTACAAACAATGCCCTATGCTGGGCACAATTGTTAATATGCTACAAAAACAAGCAGTCTCTAAGTTTGTCACTTTAAGTCACTGTGCAACATGAGAACTTCAATGGGAGTCAAACTGAAAATCTGTTGTCAATGTCTTTTTTCTGTGCCTACAAAATGGCAATCAACGTATGCAAAAATATGTGGACACCCCAAACTGTTTAGTCAGCTGCCATTTCAAGGTCAAGAATGAACATTTAACCTCAACTGTTGAGTCAATGGGAGTAGGAGGTGCTAGAGGTACTCAGAATTAAGGATCATAACAGTTTCATAAAGCCTAGCTTAATATTTTAATGAAGGCCATGGGATTTGGCTAAAAACTCCAGTAAGAGGAGCTTGAGTTGAAAATGTTGTTATTTAATATTCAGTTAAAGTTAGGGAAAGAATGCTGTCCCACAATCTCCGGTGTCTTATGTCAAAGTGACTCTGTATGCACTTTCTAAACTAAGAGTATCACATGACTTCCTGCCATAGCCTTAAAGGGATAGTGCACCCAAAAATGATAATCCAGCCATTATCGACTTACCCATATGCCAAGGGAGGCTCAGGTGAAGTGCGCACACCTTAGCGCAGTGCCCAGAGAGGCAGTTAGAGCTACAGGATACAGTGAGGCTAAAAACAGAGTTTAAATGATGTTTTTCCAAACAACTTTTTAAGTCGGGGCTTCAGGACACTTGGATCACTATGGATGAGCAGTATGGAGATATTTTGTGGTTTCAATTATGTGTTTTTGGACGTTTGAATCTGGGGCGCCGTAAGCCTCCATTAGGTGGAGTTGTGTTGCTACCCCCTCTCCCCTGGGATCTCCGCAAGTGTTGTGAGGACTCTAAAACTTCACCTGGGCCTCCCTCGGCATATGGGCGAGTAGATAATGGCTGAATTTCATTTTTGGTCGCACTATCCCTTTAACAGAAATGATTTGAAGTTGCTGGGAAAAAAATACTGAGAATATTTTTTATTTTTTCTCAGCCCAGTTGCTTGAAGAAAATGTTGGCATTGTATGTTTCTGCAGACCACAGAAATGTTAAATTTGCAGACCACCACTCGAAACCAGCAAACACCAAAACTGGTTGTCCTCACTCTGTTTCCAGTGGCTTTTTAGCCACCAAAATTTGGTGTTTTTTAGCAACTCATCACTGTGTTTCTACCAGGGATAATGCCACAAAAAATGCTTGTATTTTACAGACTTTACCAGCAGGTTTTGTGACACTAAAAACTGGTATTTCAAGCCAAAAGGTGTCCATTTCCAAACTATAAATTAGTGCTTTTTGTGCCTAAACCTAAATACGCATTAACCACAGCATTGTTGAAATGTAAATTTTCAATGTCTGCTATGTAATGGCATATAAATTCAACATATCCATGAAAAATATACTGCCAACATTTATTCTGGTGATTGGTTTATGTTTTCTGGAGTCTCGTATGTGGACTATCCAGGGGTCAGATGTGCAAAACACATACGTGCTGCTAATGTAAAGGTGTAAAGCCAACTGAAGCCTGACTAGCTAAATAGACTGGACTAGACTGGACATTTCTTCTCTGCTTGTTGTATTTTAAGGTAAAAGGAGAGATTAAAATGTCAGTCTCATTTAAAAGAAAATTGAATTGTTTTGAAATAACTGACTTGACCTTTTGTGCTTTGTAATCATATTTAGTATGCAAAACAGAATATGGCTTAGATGGATCTATAGCGTTGGATTTGGAAAGGGTTTTCGGAGATTCCATCTCTGTCACTACAAGGCTAGTTAGTAGCCACGAGCTTATTTGAAATTGCTTGTGTTGGTATTTGAGCAAACCGAGGGCATTTCAAAAATGTAAAATGTGAATACAAGATGCACTTTCCTTTTAGTCTGGCGCTCCATTCTGTCAATGAGCTTTAGCGCCACATTTTAAACCATAAGTTCAAAAGTGGGTTGTGAGTCCATTCTGAATGGACCAGGAGTGACTCGCAAACATGTAATTTGTAAAGAAAAAACAAAAAAGAACAAAAAAAACCTCTTTATTTTGAAGTGCCATGAATTTCAAACACCTTCTATTTTGAAGTGCCATTTCCTGCTGTAGACTGGTGACTAACAAAAAAATGCTTACCAGACACAGCAAACCAGCTCAAAGATATGGCCAAACGCAAGTATGATGCTGAGTGTATTAAATTGTGTGGACCCTGAACTAATGACTCAGAGAAATTTGGACCCTGTGGCTGGACCAGTTGGGAACCACTTATTTAGAGGATGTGGAATTTTGGTGTTTTGTGTTGCAAATGTCTTTCCTTTTATTTTCTTTCAGCGTTGCTGACAGACAGCTGGCTAGACACATTAATATGCAGAAACATGGTGCCCATTGCCCATCGTCCAGTCTCCAATGGTTAGCTAGCCTTGGCTACTCTACACTGCACACCATTTGGGTCAGGTGGTGTCCCTTCCCACGGCACTGTGGAAACATGGTAGTCCCCTGTAGCCCTGGTGAGTAAGAGGCTTCATTTTTAGCCGCAAAAACCTTCTGCATTATCAACTTATGTATGTTAGTACCACTAGCTGTGCTGACACAGCTAACAATGCCAACACAGTTAACAATGCTAAAGGGGTAAAAAATTAAGCTACTTACTCAGGGCAACCTGGGGGGAGATCAGTACAATGTTTCTGCAGCAAAGTCGTCCCGCCACCATGGTTTGGCCCTGCAATAGCCCCCATGCAATCCAGGTGGTGCACTGTTTGGAGCAGTCAAGGCTCGCTTACCAGTGTAACATGATTACCTCATTAGCTTTGTTCTTAATGTGGTAGCAAAGCATAGTTCTAGGACTACTACTAAGCTGAAAAGTAGCAAACTTAACCTGTAGACCAATATGTAATTGGTTAACAATTGTCTCAGTAGTTAAACGTAGTGATGGCCAAATGAAGCCTCATGAAGCATTTTCTTTATTTTATAAGCCCACTAGATGGCGCTTTTTTTCAACAAAAGATTGAAAATACATTGAATTGCCATTCTTTGAGCCTCCCTTTTTAAACCAAGTGCGCCATCTAGTGGGCTCATAAAATAAAGAAAATGCTTCATGAGGCTTCATTTGGCCATCACTAGTTAAACATAGACATCACTTCCTAGGGCAAACCAGGGGTCTGTAATATAATTTTACCTGGGGCCCTGTAGTGGATTAATCTAACCACGGTCTTGAAAAGTTTTCATTGGCTCATCAGACACTGAAGAGTGACCAAACTTTTCCTTGCACCAGCCCTGCTCCAATTGGCCAAACTCAGGGATTTTAATCAAATAGTACATTTCTTGAAGTAATCTTTCAGCTTATCACCAGACAAAGGGTCTTTTGCCTCTGAAGTAAATGTGATAAGGAATTGTCTGCACCCAAAAGATATTTGAGAAAAAAAAAACAACCTCTTACTTGAACTAATGGCAACTGAGCTACTGACCTTACTAAATGATTAAACCAGGTGATAAATTGGAATGCAAAGACATCTGTCACAGTATACTCAGGTTTTTAGTTTGTTTCCCATGTAAGCTCGTGTTCATCAAAGTGCCATTCCTATATTTCCATCTATTCTTTATATAAACCTCATATAGCCTATTCTTATGTAAAACCAGGAAGAGTTGGTCTCCATTTTAAATCTGTCAATTCAGGAAGTCATTCAAATAAACAAAAACAAAAAAAGGAATTATTCTGAACTGTTGGAAATAACGTCCATGTTGGAAATTAGCTAAGCTATAAAATATCAACTGAATGGATTCAAATGAAGTGCCATCTGAACCTGGCTTTAAGAGGTCTGGTTTCTTATATCAATATGTACAAACCTAAGAAATTTAATTCTCACTTCCAACAGCATCTCCAAGGCAGCCATTTTGATTGTACTGGTGATCACCGTGGAAACAGACAGTCTCTGTTTGGTCAGTGCTTACGTTGCAGAAACCTCCTAAAGCTCCAACAGAAGCTTTCCAACTGCGCTCGGCACTTTATAAAGTCTCTCAATTTAGTCTTAAATTTCATCCCACAAAATGTTGAACATTCATCCCCAAAGCTTCCCTCTCAAAGTACAAACAGCTTAGAAAATTCAATAGCTAAAACACCTAAAACATACTGTGATATTTACACCCCATGGTCAACGTTCGGGATTAAGGTTTTGTAATATTTGTTTAAGCATGAGGAGGAGGAAGAATTTCTATACAGCTGAAGTATTAACCTCTATGCATATACAGTTAACCTCTGATTGTGTATACAATAGTTGTGTTTGTAGGTCACCGTACATGAGCAACAGTTGTAAGCAATGTTGATTATTAATAACATGGACATTCTTTATAATATTAGCATTTTTCCAGTTATTTTTTAAACACAGTTTTTCATGAACAGGGTTGGGAACTTATACATGATGTCAAGTTTTAATCTTGAAATAAATATGGCGATTTGACGATAATGTAATTGTTACTAATTAAGCCATAAGTTACACTCACACAATGTTGGGAAACATGGGCTAAAAGTAAAATCTTGATATGTTTTCAACTACAATAATGTTTTCTTACACAACATTTATAAATGAATAAAATGAAGTGAATAAACAATTTAAATTTGAGCACATTAAAATGTGATGGTACTGATTGTTGTTTGATTATAGATTTGGTATCTGTGCTGTATATTGGCAGGTGTTTTTGTTTTTTTATCCATCAACTATGCTCTTTCAGTCCAGTCACAAGAAGAAAATGTAGGCACTGTATGTTTCTATAAAACATTGATATGTTACATTTGTACTTTTTATACATATCATATCAATGTTTTTAAAGTGATGTAGTATATAAGCTGACTTTGGCATTGGAAGGCAGGCTCTTCTCATGTAGTCTTCATACATTTTCCCATGAAAAGTAATGCACCAAAATTCATGCATAACCCACATATATGGGAAGTTTGCAATCACGTGATTAAAGTGCTTAACTTTACTTGCCCAGACCTAACCTTCATAACTTTATATTTAATTATGTAACTGTACGTTAAGGATGTAACGTAATTCCCCGGTGCTAATTTGTAGGCTATCATACAAACTGCTGCATGAGGATGAATTTGTATGTGTGCCTACCTAAAAGTAATTCACTAGAATGTATATATAACCCAAGTAATCATAAAGGCTGTGATCATGCAACAAATGTGCTGAAGTGAGAAAGGAAGGAAGTAGTATAAAGAGCAAAATACGAAGGTTGAGGAGGTGGATGGACGAAACAAATACAGTACTTTCCCTCAGGAGACAGGGGTTTGTGTCCTGTGTGAAACCAAATGAACCAACCATGTATGTAACTTTAAGTACGTAACGTGATGATGCCCAACCATGATTCTTTTTCTAAACCCAAGCTAACCAGTGGGGAGGCTAATTTGTTGGGTGCTAATTTGTTAGATATCATACAAACCATTCATAAGATATCGTACAAACTGTTGTATAAGGATACATTGTGGGAAGCCGAGGTGAAAGTGGATGGCGTGACACCTAGACAAGATGCCTAACCAAGCTGCAGACCACTGTTCAAGACCAACAAACAACAAAACCAGGTCTTTTTTTTAACATGTCATTGCTGTTGCCACAAAAGGACATTGTTTTTGACCAAATATTACCATGAAAAGTGATTGTTTTTACTGAGACAGTGCTGTGTTTCCAGCCAGGATAGTGCCACCAAAACTGGGTATTTAAAGCCAAAACATGATGTTTATCTAACTATAACCAAGTGATCTTTGTGCCTTTACATAACACACATTAACCAAAGCATACATAATAATGTGCAAATGTAACATATTCATGCAGAAAAGTACAATGCCAGCATTTATTCTGGTGATTGGGTTGACTCATTCTTGTACACAAAAGCCACAGAAACAGCAGTCTATCTTTTAATTAATACTTCTGTCTTATTCATATGGGTTGCTCTCATGGTTTCAACATCTATTGACAAAGTAATTAAGAGATAATGAGGTAAGTTTCCCAACCATGTTCATGGAATTACAAAAAAGCTGTCAGATATTTTTTTGAATGTTTTTCAAGCAGGTATTCTTAGTCCTTGTTTAATGAAAATATAAAACATCTATTGCCCGATATACAGTTTAACTGTTTGTTCTTTTTGTCAGTGGAGTTTATGAAATGATTCAGCTTCCTGTTTCCTGTGCTGCTTCACCCTGTTGCCTGTGTATCACAGCCCTGATGATGAATGTACCCATCAGAAACCCCACAAACATCTTGTTGCTACTAATCATCATATCCCTCACTCCTCCCCTCCCATGTTCCCTCCCAGCATGTTAAAAGTTTTGTTAAGTGTCTGTCTCCGTCTCGGGCTTGGCATCAGCAGTGAGTCATCCCCACCACCCACCTACTTCTCCTCCCCTCCTTCCCTCTTTTCTTTCCTCTTCTTTCCTCTTTTTGATCTCCTTAAACCTCACTCCTTCATCCACTCTGCTGCATGCCTCCTCCCACACGCTTCAAGGATACACGATTTGTGTTTGTGTGTTTGTGTATGTTGTCTTGTGGTGTTTAAGAGCTGTAACAGAGCCAATCTAATCCCCCCAGTTGTGTCCCCCCCCCCTTTTCTGCGTATGTAGCCTAGCATGGTGAAGCGCTCATTCGCATGTGCGTGTGATAGCGAGGAGGAGGCACAGCTGAGGGTGGTGCCCCCATGGGCATTGACTGAGGCGGGGGCCCGCTTGGATGGGGATGGGGCTGAGGGTGGCCGTGGCCGTGGGATGCCCTGGGTAGGGTGGAGGTGGCGGCCAGGTGGAGGGGATGTGGGTAAGAGGAGGAGGTGGATGAGGAGGAGGCCGGCTGGAGCTGGTAGCTGGCTGCTGATGAAGGCCCAGAGGAAGAGGGTGTAGGCTGGGAGCTGCTCCCCCCCTTGGGTTGTGCCTGCGAAGGTGGGGTCTGGTTGAGCTGGATGGAGATGTCAGAGGAGACGTCAGAGGCGCTACGGCCACGCTGTGGTGGAGGCCAAGAGTCTGGATGGAGGAACTGGCCGCTGTAGTCACTGCATTCGGACATGCGGGGTCGGTAGAGGGCGGGATGAGGCCTGTACAGCTCCTCCTCGGCATAACGCTTCATGAAGAGATAGACGGACATCACTCCTGCACCCTGGGGGACATTGACACATGCAAAGATGCAGTGGTTACTGCAAGATCATATATAGTATGTTAAGTAAAAAAGGAGTATGTGCCAGTGCCATCTTGCGCAATTACGCATGAGGGTCACCACAGTATTTATATGTTTATGGCAATAAGTCTGATCAGACACCTGGCCTGAATTACAGCATGAACCAGTGGTATCCCTGTCCCAGAATACAATGTGTAATTTGAAATACTATTAAAAGATGAAAGTGTAATAGGCGAACACATTTCTTCATGCCGGTTTTGTCATGAACAGCACATGTCTAAGTAGGGCTGATGAAATGAGTGTAACGGTTGTGATTAATGGCTGAATTTAGAGACATGATAAAAGCAATGGAAATATTTAGCTAAATAAATAAATATATTCCATGCAGTCGCGCCATCCTCTCCCCCTCCTGCGCTCACAGAGTGGACAATGAGACGTTAGAGGCAGTGCGGATTAAATACGTATTTAGAAAGAATTTCAATTTAGGATTTGAGTTGGATTTTACAACGTTTTTATGAAACAATTATCACTCACTCCAAGCGCAAAATAGGGCTGCTGGATTTAATTTCAATGATAACGTGGATCTAAGGTGGATATAGCGTGGCATTAAATTTGTGTGAGACATCAATAAAAATCTGACACCACTTCTCCACCTCACCGTCTGCGTCGCCACTTCCCAGTGTCTCCAAAATGTGCGCACGCATGACTCAGAGTTTGCTTACAGGTGCGCACATTCTCCCGCTAAGTTTATTTTTATAAATCACAACCTTTGCGTGGTAAGTGGCGTATGCCACTTTCAAGCCCCGTTTTGTGCGTAAGCAGGCTTTATAAATGAGGCCCCAGGTCATTTTAAAATCTTTATCAACAAGGCAAATACATTTGTGGGTTTCTTCTGTGTCATTTGGCTGCTGATTTCCACAGTAGGTTTGGAGTGTGCCTCTGAAGAAGCTCACTTTGGAGGGCCATGTACCCCCTGATTCTGTGTTTACAAGGAATCAGGCAAATGGTAGCAGGCACACAGCCAATACCTTCTGGTCAGCACAGGGAAAACAAACAAACAGTCCAATGGGAGACCCTGAAGAAGACTTTGGTCGATATGCGTAGGTCTGTTTTGTTGCCTTTGCTCAAATAAAGTTACTTTATATATTTTTACCTGAAGATGGAGTGCCTCAGCATTTTTTCCTTGGTTGTCTGCATTTTTTACAAACAGCAGGACCTCCTTGGTTTTTCTTCCAAAACAGTCCAATGGATTGGCAGGATGGTAATATGAAACATGCATGACAATATGTTGCAATGGTGATGTCGAATGGAATAAAGTATATATATATGTTGTTGTTATAAATTAATGTAATTATTCTAGTAATGTCTAGTAATTCAGCTGCAGAGGGCAAAAAGTAAAAATGCCATCTACCGTTACCAGTGCCAGAATTCTCTACTGTCTTCACCTAATTTTACCACCCTGCTCTCGACCATGAAATTACATCTGGTTTGCTGCCTTCATCTGCCGGATTCCATCTGAACATGAGTAACGCGTCGTCCCACCCCTCTATATAAACAAGAATCAGGACACCCTATCCTTAGGGTGCATCTCATTTCCACCCCTTCCCCTTGGTTTTGCACATTCACGTGAGGGGTAGGGGTGTCTCAATTCTCATTTGGAGTAAGGGCTAGTGCCAAGACCGAGGGCAACATAGCCCTTGAAAAGATTCTGGAGGACCACACTTGAAAGAAAGGGGTTTTGAGGAATTTCGGATCATCCACTGCATAACCATCAAACAGACGGCCGGCAAAAGTTTTTTTTATGTAGCAATGGCTTTTCGATCTCCCAGAGAATCGCACAAATGTAAGTATTTTCAGCATTCTAATTGATATTACAATTACGGCACTCATGTTTCATGATACAATTGATACAATGTGAGACCCCTGCATTTTCATTTGTTTTTTGTCAACTCTTGTCACTTCTGCTGACGTAGCAGCCAGCTTGCGGGAAGGTATGATGACGCAAACGGTAATCGAGCGGTGTCTCATTTCTTAGGGGAACGTTTCTACCCTTAGCCTGCTCAACTCTGTACAGAGGGGCAAGGGGAAGATGCAAATGAAGGGGGAGGGGGAGGAGGAGAGGTAGGAATGAGAATTGAGATTCACCCTGAGACATCAATGCACAACACGGAGGGGTAAGGGCTGAGTAGGATGGGCGAGGGGACTGGGCTTTCACCACGCCCATCAGTGATGTCATTGTGTACTGACACACCATGCTGTACTCTTCTATTTCATTGCAGCAAGATGGGGAGTTAAATCAGTGACAGTCAGCATACACAAGAGTTTCAGGAGACAATAATTTGCTCTGTCAACTTTACACATGAAATTTAGTTTACTCAGCCTGTGGAAAGAACTGTGGCCCTCAGAGGAACTTTCTAAAGTCTGAGCAAATCACCCTGATGATGTCATCATTGGGCTTGAAGATTTCAAGTTTATAACAGAGAGCCAGTTGAAAACTGTAGGAATGTCTGAAAGTGGCAGGCATTTACCAATGAGAAGAGTGAAAGATGCCAATGAGGTGCACTATGGGAAATTTAGGATCCTGCATTTTTGGAGTTTGACCCATACAAGGGACTAAAAATAATTATTTTCTAACTTGTCACTCATAAATCCAACAACTTTTTTGAGGTGCAATACTAATTTTAAATAAACAAACATTTAAACATTTCCATCAATTAAATATGTTTAGAGGATTGTGAATCCCAGGAGAAGGTCTGGGTTCTTTTGAGTGCTTTGGAGTTTTTATTACTGATTTTATGTTGCTTTTATGCACTGAATGGGTTTCTATTTGTGTGTATCCCTCTTGGATTTTATTACTCACTCCGGCGGGCACTTCATATTTCACAAAACATTTATGGTTTTGTTATGCTCTTATTTTGTGTTGTGTTATTTTTTTAGTATATTGACAGCAGGTAGATACTATATTCCAAAACAAGAGACCATAAAGTTATCTTCTTAAAATGTGTCAGTATTATACATGTTTTCAAATCAAATAAATAGATAGACCCCTATTAGCTACTGGCTATAATTTTGTTTGAAATTGGAGATATTATAAACAGTTATGGAGTTTATGATAGATACTCTGCAAATAAATTGGATCCGATAAAGAAATGAAGACATCAAACAGGGCTGAGAGTGTCTGCTGGGGAACAGAAATTGAGACAGGGAGAGAGGGAGAGAGGGAGAGAGAGAGAGAGAGAGAGAGAGAGAGAGAGAGAGAGAGAGAGAGAGAGAGAGAAGAAACCACAGTCTATTTTCATCAATGAAAACACAACACGAGCAAATCAAGCTGCAGATTTCTCAGCATATTCCCTGATGCAAAGGGCTTTTATAAAACATCAGAATCAGCCTCCCTAAACTGCAACACACTGCCATCAGGAGGGGAGAAAATTAAATAAATCCATAAGAAATGTTACAGAGAGTTGACAAAAAGGCTCGGCGCTCGGCGGTGGAATGAGCCATTATCAAAAATGTATTCATGTTTTCACCCGGGCATCCGCTGAGCATTCACAGCTCATTCACTATTCATCCACAACATCATTGCTACAACGGCCCTGAAACTTTAGATGCTGATGAATGTGTTTGTGTATCTGAGTGGGTGTGTGTGAGAGCGAAGTAGTGTTTTTAAATGGGTGTTTGTGGAGAAAAAAAAATCATGTTTTGTCGCTCCAGTACAGATTAGAAGAAGTGAAGAAAACCAGAAAAAAGAAGGAGGAGGAGGAGACGGGAGGAGACAAGAGAAGACAAGAGCGGATTGATAGGAAACAAAGGGAACAGAATAGGAGAGGAGGGACGACATTAAAAAAAGGAGGGGAAGAAAGATGAAAGAACATAGGAGATAAAAGAAGAAGAAAAGAGAAACAATAATCAAGGATTAGAGAGTGGAGGATGAAAGAAGAGAAGACACCACCAGAGGATAAGAGGGGGAGACTGAAGTAAGATAGGAGGATATAAGACAAGGAGAGAAGGGAGGAGGTGATAAGACAAAAGGAGAAAGAGGAGAGAGATGGAGGAGATACATGAGTACAGTGAGGAAAGAAAAGAGGATTTGTAACAAAACAGTAAAGAAGAAGAAGAGAAAAGATAAAAATAGACAGTGAAGATAAATATGCAACTTTATTGGCATGGAAGAGGAGAGAAGAGAGGGAAGGAGAGAGAGAGAGGACAAAAGACAACATTGGAAATAAAAGGGCAGGAAAAGAAAAGGTGAGGAGAAGGAAGAGGAAAGGAGAAGTAATGTAAATGTGGAAGAGGTAAAGAAAAGATGAATATAGATGATCAAGAAAAATTGGCAACTTCATAGGGATGGAAGAGGAGAAAAGTGTTGGGATTCACAGGACCACAGATGATTTATCATTTGGTAAAATCTAAACTGGAGATTTAAAGGCTTTTTCCTCTGCATGCTCTTTGTTCTCCAAACAAAGAGAGCTATGTGACACCCATCTCCACAGGAGATCTCACCTCACACCTCAGTGAGACTCAAGTCCCAAAACTTGATTGGACAGGACCTTTACAGTGGCAAGTGACTCTGATGTCACAGGCATCTGTAGATCTGTGCTCCCTTCCAACAGATCTCTCTCTTGCTCTCCAGTTGTTGAACAGCTAACACCTCTTTCCGGCTGGGCCTGGAACAGCAGAGGCCCAGACCTCTGCTCCATAGCCCCAAACCACTAAAGGGAGGGCAATTGATCACAGACTCTCTTGCAAACACAAGGTTTGCAACTAGCTTTCCAGCAACAAGGAACTAAGTGAGTTAGCACCCAGCGTCTAACTCTGCTAAACCCTGAGTGACCAGCTTCCTCGGAGTTTCACCTTTGGAACAAAGGATGCAACAAAGACTGCATCTTGAACCATCTTCCCAGTCTTCTTCTGCCGGCTAACAAAGCAGTACACCACCAAGTGACTCTTTCTCCCATCCATTCAAGGATCGGTATCGTAGCAACTGGGCATAGCTTATCACAGCTTTACAGGCTAAGCAAGACTGTTTAACTTGTTGTATGTGATTTGATGCTGTTTACTGAGTTATTGTTGTGATAGTTTGCAGTTGGGTCATTGATTAGTTGGCTTCGCCAAAGCTAAGTGTTTAGTTTGCTAATACTGTTCACAAACAGATTCTTGCACCCAACTAAACAATCTCTGCACTAATCCAGACCGTCTGCAACACATGTCACATTGACATAGACTCATTAACAAACAGGCTTTCAACAGAGCTGCACCCAAACAGGCATCTCAAAGTTCCCGCTTCTTTTCCTTTGTCTTTGTCCTGACCACACGGTCAGACAAATACTCCCCCGACCTGAAGCCAGCCTTGATTCGGCCATTTTGGTAGTTCTCTGTTGTCAGCCATTTTGTTTTGTAGGCCAAACGCCTCCTTGATCACCACACCCGCCTTTGTCTTTCTTTCTCTTTTCGCTCTCTCACACACACAACATACATATACACACCAAGCTTGTATATAGTTAGTTAGAATTTGTGTGTTTTGGTTTGCTTTGCTAATTTGTGAATAAATATAATTCTTTGGAATCATACCTGCTGTCTGTTTAATGTTGCACAAGAGAGAATGAATAGTCAACCTCTGCTGCGTCAAGAACTCTGAAATCCTTCAGGCGTTACTGTTAATTATGGTTGTTGTCATTAATTTAATTATTAATCAAAACTCCAAATTAATAGTTTAGCATATTTTATGAGACTGATATCTTTAACTGGCTATCATTTTTAACTTTAAGGGAATGGTGCCCCACAAGGTGATTTAATGTTAATTAAGTCACATTATTTAACATGAGTATTAATTATTAATAATAATTATTTCCGATAGCCAATTAAATCCCTACATATTTGTTGTCCCTTGGTGAGACCTAATATATTGATCCCAACATATTTGGTGCCGCCATGTGGCCGCCAAATGGGATACTTAAAAGAAACAGGAAGGGAACAGAAGAAGTAAAGTAAATATTGAGGACAAAAAAAAGACAAAAGTTGAGTGAGGAAATAAAGAACAAAAGAAGGGAAGCAGATATGAAAGAGGAGGAGAGAGGAAAAAAAGGAGGGGCCAGGAGATAAGATTACAGGAGGGCCGAAGAGGAGGAGATACAAGAAGAAGACAAAAGAAGAGGGGGGAAAACAGGATTGCAGAGAGGAGGAGATAAAGGGAGAAATGCTACAAGATGAAGAGAGGAGAGGAGAGGAGAGGAGAGGAGCATAAAACAAAGAGAGACAAAGAGGAGATAAGATGAAAGGACAAGAAAAAAGGCAGGAGGCCAGCGGAGGAGATAAGAGAAAAAGAAAAGAAAAGAAAAGAAAAGAAAAGAAAAGAAAAGAAAAGAAAAGAAAAGGGGAAGGGACAACAGAGGATTAAAAAACTGCGGATAAAAGAAAAAGAGTAGAGACAAGATAAAAGCAGAGGACATAGAGAGAGAGAAGCAGCAGAGAAGAGACAGGAGGAGGAAAGAGGGGAGCTAGGAGAGGAAGAATGAAGGAGCAGAGCCTGCCCCCCCAAAGCAGGGAACATTCTGCTGCATGTGAAGCTGTGCTGCGACAGAGCTGCTGCCCTCAAGTATTCAAGCTATTAACATTTATGAATATTGATGCAGGCAGGATGACGGGCTCCTACGCAGGCACTTTTTAAATGTGCGTTTGTGTGTGTGAGTGTGTGTGTGTGTGTGTGTGTGTGTGTTTAGCTGAATACGTCTGCATTTCAGCAAGCTACAAGTACTTTTGTGTGTCTGTGTTTGTGCACATGCTCGAGTGTGTTTAGCTAAGTGGTGGCTGGTTGACATCCAAGACAGATTCCAAACAATCTGTATGCGTGTGTGTGTGTGTGTGTGTGTGTGTATGTGTGTGTGTGTGTGTGTGTATGTGTGTGTGTGTGTGTACGTTATCTCTTTTGTCAGTTGCATAACATCAGTAAATGTTAAGCATCAGTATATATTAGTGTCACTGTGAACTGCTCTGTGTGTGCTTGTGCCTGTGTGTTTTCTTGAGCACAGCCGCAGAGTGTGTGTTTTGTCCACATGCACATCCGACGTGTCATTACTTGCACGTCTTTTATTCATGTCTCTGTCTGTGTTCAAACACTGAAATGTTTATGCATGACCACAACCAAGTGTAGGCCAATGTGTTTGTGGTTGTGTGTGTGTGTATGTGTGTGTGTGTGTGTTGTTCTTCGATTACCTCTTTAAGCAGGAAGGAGGAGGCAGCAAAGGCGAAGGACCAGCCATAGCGGTAGTGGAAGAACTGCTCTGGCTCCCTGGGTCGGTTCATCACCTCGTCATTAATACTGGAGATATACAGGACCAGACCAACCACCAGACTGAGACCTGCACACACACACACAAACACACACATATAGTATTCATAAACTCTTCAAAATAAGGGTTCCAAAAGAGTTCTTCCTGAGGAGCTGACGTCCTTGAATCCTTTTTCAAGAGGTTCTTTGTAAGACTAATGGTTCCATTAGAAACCCTTTTCATTCAAAGAAATGTGTGAACTATGACTGATGTGGGTTGTGCTAAACCACATCAGCTCCAGCTTTTTAGGAGCCTCATGAAGCCCAAGGCTGCTGGATGTGGCTCCCCTGGCCCCAGGCTAACCTGTTAAACTAAAACCAGGATATGTGGGGGAGAGATCTGTGGGTATGGCTGCTGCTCTTTCTCTTTGAGTTAGCTGCTAAGAGATGGCTGTGGCTCAGAAGGTAGAGTGCATTGTCCACTAATCGGAAGATCAGCAGTTCAATCCCTGGCTCCTCCAGTCTGCATGTCAAAGTATCCTTGAGCAAGATACTGAACCCCAAGTTGCTCCTGATGGCTGCTCCATAGTGAGTGTGTTAGAAACTGAGTAGCAGGTGGCACCTTGTAGTCTCAGCCACCAGTGTATGAACGTGTGTGTGAATGGGTGAATGTGACTCGAAGTGTAAAAAGGGCTTTGAGTTTTAAGGCGCTATACAAGTGCAGGTCCATTTCCCATTTCCCAAGTGCTACCACCCACTTTTTCAATCTCCTAACTTCACACTTGTCCTGCCAATGATCCCATCCTGCTAAATGTGTCAATTTAAAGGTGAAATAACTCTTACCCCCATTCCACAATTGTACCTTATCTGCAGCAGAGCAAGGCGGCATAATGGCACGATATTCCTGCCTTGAACAGGCAGTGTAAAAAGAGCTCATTACCTTTTTTGAGCCCCCGGGGTAGACTCTCTAAATGGGCTTTTATTAGCCACCTTAAAAGGAGGAAAGGTTCTGGATAAACCCCCAGAGATGGCTCTGGGTGGAACAGACCATAGACGGTTCTCCAGAAGAAGTAGAACCTCTCATAGGGGGTTCTGGGTGGAACCTTTCGTAGATGGTTGGAGGCATGTTGAGTTCTAGGTAGTAGCCTTTGAAAGATTTCCAGGTGGAAGCTTCATTTAAAGGTTCTACCAGGAGCCAAAAAAGGGTTCTAGGACAAAAATCCTATATGGCTCCAGTGAGCATGTTTATTTCTAAGAGTACTGTTATCACTACATATATTGACCCCCCCACCCCCCGAGTTTGCCTCTCATTTGTGTCAAAGGTGGCTTTTAATAGGCGACACAGCCTCTATCAACAGTGTTGAATCTATTGTGGCCCCAGAGTACTGTGACTCCTTTAGGATTACGCTGACTACGCATCTATCCTCACAACCAAGTATCGTAGTAATTCAAGGCATTACTCAACTCATATACAGTCAGGTCCATAATTATTTGGACAGTGATACAGTTGTCATCATTTTGGCTCTGTACACCACCACAATGAGTTTTAAATGAAACAATGAATACCTGCTTAAAGTGCAGACTCTCAGCTTTCATTTAAGGCTTTTTTCAAAAATGTAGTATGAACCGTGTAGGAATAACAACCATTTCTTCACACAGTCCCCCAACTTTAAGGGCTCATAAGTATTTGGACAAACTAACATAATCATCAATTAAACAGTCAGTTTTAATACTTGGTTGCAAATCCTTTACAGTCAATGACTGCCTGAAATGTTGGACACATAGACATCATCAGATGCTGAGTTTCTTCCCTGGTGATGCTCTGCCAGCCCTTTACTGCAGCCGTCTGCACTTCCTGCTTGTGTTTTGGGTGTTTTGCCCTCAGTTTTGGCTTCAGCAAGAGAAACGCATGCTCAATTGGATTCAGGTCAGATAATATGACTTGGCCATTGCAGAACATTCCACTTCTTTGCCTTAAAAATGTCTTTGGTTGCTTTTGCAATATGCTTCAGGTCAATGTCCATCTGCACTGTGAAGCATCATCCAATGAGTTTTGAAGCATTTAGTTGAATCTGAGCAGATAATGTAGCCCCAAACACTTCAGCTTTCATCCTGCTGCTCTTGTAAGCAAGACAAGACTTCACTAGAATAAATACAGAGGGTTTATCACAAGATGCAAACCATTGGTTAGCCTTAAAAATGGAAGGCCAGATTAGAGTTTGTCAAAAACCATCTAAAAAGCCTGTACAGTTGTGGAACAGCATACTATGGACAGATAAAACAAAGATCAACTACCAGAATGATGGGAAGACAAGAGAAGGAAGAAGGGAAGGAACTGCTCATGATCCAAAGCACACCACCTCATCAGTGAAGCATGGTGGAGGTACTGTTATGTCATGGCCATGTATGGCTGCCAGTGGAACTGGTTCTCTTGTATTTATTGATGATGTGACTGCTGACAAGAGCAGCAGGATGAAAGCTGAAGTGTTTGGGGCACCATTATCTGCTCAGATTCAACCAAATGCTTCAAAACTCATTGGACGATGCTTCACAGTGCAGATGGACATTGACCTGAAGCATACTGCAAAAGCAACCAAAGACATTTTTAAGGCAAAGAAGTGGAATGTTCTGTAATGGCCAAGTCATATCATCTGACCTGAATCCAATTGAGCATGCGTTTCTCTTGCTGAAGCCAAAACTGAGGGCAAAACACCCAAAACACAAGCAGGAAGTGCAGACGGCTACAGTAAAGGGCTGGCAGAGCATCACCAGGGAAGAAACCCAGCATCTGATGATGCCTATGTGTCCAACACTTCAGGCAGTCATTGACTGTAAAGGATTTGCAACCAAGTATTAAAACTGACTGTTTAATTGATGATTATGTTAGTTTGTCCAAATACTTATGAGCCCTTAAAGTTGGGGGACTGTGTGAAGAAATGGTTGTCATTCCTACACGGTTCATACTACATTTTTGAAAAAAGCCTTAAATGAAAGCTGAGAGTCTGCACTTTAAGCAGGTATTCATTGTTTCATTTAAAACCCATTGTGGTGGTGTACAGAGCCAAAATGACGACAACTGTATCATTGTCCAAATAATTATGGACCTGACTGTAAACTCTCTCTGCAATCTACTAAGATCTTGTGCCTGTGAGATGATGTCTGTGACTCTAAAAGAAAAAGTCTATTTAGCTGTGTTTTTCCAACAGTATCTCCATGTTTACACACCTGATTTAAATGTTAGCTAACAGCCAGATATCTGTCTCGTCAGCTTGCAGAAGGTCAAAGAGAAATTCATACGGAAACTTTTAATTAAAAATCACTGTAGTAGTTACACTTTAAACCACAAACTCTTCTCGGTGTTCAACTCAGTGTTTTGGAGCAGAGTCTAATTTACTTTCCGAAAATGAGAGTGATGTGTCAGCGGCCTGGAGGTCAACCGAATGCGGAGGAAGAGGATGAGAGATTATGATATTTAATTATTTTTGTCCGTTCCATCGCTCACAAATGCTTAACAGCTCTACAAACTATGAATAACCAGCAAAACCAGGAGGTGCAAGGCTAATGTTGCATTACCCTTGTTACCCTGTAATACAAATCTCATTTGAATGGGCCTTTAGTCTCTTTGTATTGGTGTGTCTGTGCGTGTGTGTGTGCGTGTTTGTGTGTGCGTGTGTGCTTTGTAGTTGGAATAGCTAATGATAACGTGTCCTGGTTGTACTGTAAATAGGCTGAGAAAACCCCAACAACAGGCTGTGCTGTGGTACAGAGATAAACAAGGACAGTCTCTCAAACACACACACACACACACACACACACACACACACACAATAATATGCACCAGCAGTCAAAGAAACACACACTTAAGTATACAAAACCTCACTGACTTGTGCGTGTACACACACACACACACACACACCAACAGAGTGAACCCTCATTAGGAGTGTGTCAGTGCTTCCTCCCCTGTCGGCAGACTGCAGCTGACCTCCAAAGTCTTCCAGCAGTGAAACTCTGACACACTAAACACTACAAAGATGCTTCCCTTTAAAAAAACACCTTACAGCTCTCCCACTCTCAGATCATATCATTGAAACCTTAAGATACAACACTAACTTACTCAGGGATGAGATAACTAAGCACTAGCCAACATGGACTTTCATTTGAAAAAATGTTAAGCCGGATTTAAGCTTCTGCGTCAGGGTGTCGCAGAGGCTCTGTGGCTCTGCAGAGCTGATGCGCTCCTCCTAAATAATGCCGCTACATGTCAAGGCTGCAGAGATACAACATGTTAACTTGTTGCCAGGCTTTTGACTTAGGCCAGGAAATATGATCCCATTTCACCAATCCAGGCCTCCATACACTGGCTTTCTTACATATGTTGCTTTTAAAGTTGATTTCAAGGTGTCGTTGACTTACAAAGCCCTAAGAAGCCTCCCTCCAAGTTACTTATTTGATTTCTTATTGTCCTATCTACACCCTGAGATATCTAGATGCATCACTTCTTGTCCTTCTGAACTACTGAGTTACAGCCAGGAAAATATAATGTTTGGGCTTAAAATACCCAATTGGGTTAGGGTTAGGGTAAGGGGTTGGGCTTCAGGGTTTGGTGGTTGCATTAGCAACAATGTCTCAATTAAAACCAGCCAGTTTTCATGGCATTATCCCCTGTGGAAAAACAGCATCAGGTTACTGCAAAACACCCACATTTGTTACTGGAAACAATGGCAAGGAATCACTACATAGCAAGCATTTTTTTTGCTGTTTTTTGGAATGACCTGTCTGAGATCAGGGCTGCAAACCCTGTGTCATTCTTTAAATCTTTTTTTTTCTTTTACTAACACCCTAAATTTGATTTTGTGATTGGCAAAGCCGTTTCCAGTGCAAACTTTTCCTCACTACATGTCACTCTCTTTTATGAACTCAAAGACAGAATATAAAATACAATCACTACCACAGTCTCCTGTTTCTGTAGCAAAGTGATGCTGTTTTATGAGTCATACAGTCACTTCTGTAAGACTTGTACAGTGGAGTCAATATTGTATGTATCTGCCACCATTTTTGTGGCCATTTTTCATTCACTATATTGAATGTAGG